ACAGCCCCCGCAACAGGGGCCACATGCCCCACCCCCACTTGCTCCCCCAGTCTGCTGGATTGCTGCCCTGCCTGGCCCCATCCCCTGCCAACTCCTGCAACCCCCTGATGGCTGCTCCATGACCCACTTGCACTCTCAGTCCCCCAATGGCTGCCTCACCTGGCCCCCACCCCCTGGCACTTAAAAAAGCCTTGTACTCACTGGCAGTAGCAGGGGCTGTGAGGCCTTGTGGCATAGCCCCCCTGCACAGCAGGGGGCAGCAGGGCCCAGCCCCAGCTGCCTGGTACCCACACTGCCACATCAGGCAGGTGCAGCCAGGGTTGGGCATTGTACAGCTCTGCACACTATCGGGCAGCTGGGGCTGTCACCTGGGCCCCATGCTGCTGGGGGGGCTCTGCCACGTGGTTCTAGTTACCCCAATAGCAGCTGCTACTGCTAGTGAGTACAGGATTTTTATGTTTTTTTAATTGCCCGAATGCTAGGGCCAGGTGGGGCAGCAATTTGGGAGGGTGGGGGGTCTTGGGAGGCAGGTGGGGGATGGGACACAGGTAGGCAGCATGCTTCAGCACTGGGGCAAGGGCCAAACAGAGACGCTCTGGCTGGCTATCCGAACGTCTCTGTGGAGAACATTTCTCATCTCTGTGGAGAACATCCCCCCTCTCAGTGTGGGGAACATTTTTTTGTTCCCAGACATGCCTCTAGCAGCCATCTCAAAGGGCTTTGAGATGTTGCAAGAGGCACATGCACACTTGTCTAGACATTGCCATCAGAAGGTTTCCGGATCTCCTCTGTCTTGGATTTGGAGTCTCTAGCAATTTGTATCCATAAGGGAAGATTATACATGTTAAATTTTACAATATTCTGTCCATGTGTTAACAGCTAAAACCCAACAACTATCATTTCAACCTTGCTTTTCAAACAAAGCAGTTCTTACCTCTTTATGGTAAAGAATGAATCCTAAATCACCCAGATTTGCTATATTCCTGTGATGTTTCCACCTAGCTTTCTGTGAGAATTAAAAGGGGTCCTGTTAGATTTGTTATGGCATTTTTCCCCTACATTATTAACAACACACACAATTCCTAAACCAAAGTACTTTAGACTTTAATCTGTTTATCTTTGCTGTTCTCTCATTTACAACTGTCACTAAGTTAGTTAGTTCAGTGTTGTTTTCTAGTCATGTTCAAGTTGTTAAGTGAGGAGGTATTTAGTTTGCTGTCGTTTCAAGGAAATCTGTGTATGTTAGTGTGGCCGTTTTGGGTACCGTGGGCTCCCCTGGTTCTCGCCTGCCACGACTCCGATCTTGTTAAGAAAATGGGGAGGAAAGTGATAATTAGTACCCGCGGAAGGACCACTCTCGGTCTATTTTATAACCTCAGAGCTATTTATTCTTTCTTATTTTACAGGAAACCAGTTGGGAGGCAGCAGCTTATCAGGATTGTCCCTGAAGTCGTCTTCCCACTCTGCTGAGGACCCCCAACCCCTCAACAGGAACGGTAAGGGTGACGGTGTGCTTCACCAGTTTGAGATGCTGTAGACTATTCGGTGTCTGCAGGGTCCCCTCCGTGTCCTCTGTCCTGCAAAAGGGGATCTCCGGGCTTCTCGGTCTAGCCCGCTTATCTTAATCAAAGGAAGAAACCGAAAAGAAAAAAGTTTTCCTTTGTTCTGCTCTCGCTGGCAGCTTCCTGCAGTTAAATTGTCCTATTAGCGGCTTGTTGCAGCCGCCGCCTGCGTCTTTCTCTGGCAGAGCCGGCGTGCAGGCTCCGTGGCTCTCCCACGGTCGGGGTTTGCCCTCTCGGTCCTCAGTGTCTCTCGCCCCTTAGGGTTCTGAATTCACCCGGACTCTTCAGGGGTCTGGGCCGGGGTCATCCCTTCCGCTGCCCCTTCGGCTCGACGTAGACTCCCCGATCCTTAATGCCGGCTGCGGCTCCCGCCCACGGCGCGGCTCCGCTTCTCCCCGATTTCACCGCCGTTCCCGCGGACTCAAGGTCAGCCAAGGCGAGGGCTGTGTTCCGGGATCCCTCTGATCCTGCGTTGGGGTCCCTCTTCCCAGATCCTGCTCTCTGGAGGATGTCTCTCTCTTTCTCTGTGGTGCCCGAAGGCTATCAGTCCATGCTCTTTTTGTTCGTTTTGGCGAGCTAATCACCTAAGCTTGCCTTAGGTGTGTAATTTCCCCCACCTGGCAGGGTTCGTCGTCGGGTCAGTCTAGCTCCGTCTTACCTAAGTAACAGGCTCCTGTCAGAGTCCCTGTTACAGTTTAAAAGATTTCTGTTACCTTTTAAACACAAGTATTATGTTTAAGCCCTTCTCCTGAAATAAGGATTTATAAAATCTAATTTTTACAGAAATTAAACTCCATGGCCATTGGTGACTTATAGGTCATGCACCCCCTGAGGTTGGCTGTGCACCCCCAGGAAGCGCCAGCCACAAAACTGGAAGTGCCGGTGGAAGTGCACTTCTGGTTTCGCTGCTGGTGGTACTGGGCTCAGCAATTGGCCACTGGGGGATGCCCCCCTCCCCCACCGGCGATCTGGTGCCCTGCCCAGACTCAGGAGACACCAGTCACCCATGTCCATGGCCAACTTGAGCAGGCAGTATTCTTTAACCTTCTGCAGACTTTACCTGCTCTGCTGATGCCCCTTGGCTTCCTTTTTCCTGCTAAAAGTAAAAATCTTCATTTGGATGTTAGTTCTTTCATTTTGAATTTGTTCTCTTTGAAAGTATGAAATTCAGGAGGAACTCAGACACTTACTACTTGGTGTACCTGAACTTCAAACATGTATGGATTTAAATGCTTCAGTTTAGGCATCCAAATTCAGAAATTTTGGCTGTATTTTATATGTATCTTCTGATGCAGCATAAGCTGTTTAAGATGCTTGCACAGCAGGCAGCAGCCATGTGAATTGTGGAAATTGCATTAGTCATTTGCCAAATCCCAGTATTAAAGGAACTGCTTAAACCGGTTTAAGCCTGACTGAATTTAAGCTCAGCAGCTTGCTTCTTGCTCTTCATTTTTGCTCCTCATATTGGTATTTAATGTTTTCTCCTCTTCTCCAGCTGTTTCCACTTCCTTGAGAGCAGTTCCCATGTCACTGAAAGCACCAAATACAAAGGGGTGGGAGGTAGTTTCATAGTTTCTAGGGTCAGAAAGGACCTGAGTAGATCATCTAGTCCGACCCCCTGCCATGGCAGGAAAGAGTACTGGGGTCAAACAACCCCAGCAAGGTGTTCATCTAACCTCCTCTTAAAACCCCCCAGGGTAGGAGCCTGCACCACTTCTCTTGGAAGTTGGTTCCAGACCCTAGCTGCCCTGACCGTGAAGTAGCGCCTCCTGATATCTAACCTAAACCTACCCTCTGCCATCTTGTGACTGTTATTCCTGGTCACTCCTGGCAGTGCTCGGGGGAACAGTGACTCCACCAATAACTTGCTGTGAAAAAAGTAATGCATCTGTACAAAGGGGACTTCAGGCAATCACCCATTTCATTTCCTTGCTGGGCTTTTGAGCCAATTTTCCTGTCAATTTTGATAAAATTATTTGGGTTACGTTACAGTCACCAGTGTGCACATAAAATAATAGCTTGTATAGTTGCTGCTAGTTAGCAAAGCCAAAACAATAATTGGCGCTTCTGAGTCATGATGGCATGCCTCTTCACTAGTTGGACATGAGGCAGTTAATACTTGCATGGCTTTTTCACCATAGTTCTTATGGCAGGGCACAAGATGCTTCCGGATAATGACAGGCGGGGTAAGAGAACTGAGGCATGGGGGCAACTTGCCAAGGATACATCCCTGGAAGAGCCAAGAATGATCCAGTGTCTGGAGTCACAGTGCAGCATGCTATTCCTTGTGCCCTACTTGTTATAAAGGAGAAAATGCTTGGTGTTTTTGGGACTCAGATATTTATTGTCGGTTGAAATTTCATATTGATTAAAACATCTCTTTAGTTTTGGGGAGTCCAGTCCTTTTTGTTCTCATGGTGTCTGCCTCTCTGAAACTTTGTCCAACAAGATTCCTTTGCAAGTCAAATCTTAAATGAACCATACATGAGTGCTGTAAATTTGAATGGCATGCCATAGCCATAAAGTTTCTTATTTTGAGAAGCTTGCAGTCAAAGACCCCAATTCTACAGAGACTTAGACTCCTGATCGGTAATCATGCACCTTAGTAGTCATTGGGTGTATCTACATGTTCATTAATGCACTTTTGGTAACGTGCATTAAATTTAGGACTTCCATTGTGAGGTACTAAAAAAGGTGCATTAGCCTATTTTAACGTACATTAGCGAAAGTGCATGGCTTTTTTGTGACCTTTAAATGCACATTAAAACAGGCTAAAGCACATTAAAATGCATGTGTAGACATGCCCATTGTGTAGCAAGAAATGACAGATGGAGTGGGTAATAAGGTATTAAAAAAACAATACCTGAAGACATGTGATTGTGGTATGTAGGGAATTATGATATTTGTTTACTGATGGAGAATGAAATAAGTTTACCCTAGGCTACAGACAGTTGCATTCCCTGAACCAGAGTTAGAAGGAAAATATGCCTGGCTCCCACAGCATCTGCTCAGCTCACTACTGCACACCACTTTACTATAGAATTGACCTGTGCTGAAAACACATATCAGGTCTTTCTCTCCATCATTTCCAGGCATGGACACATTTGTGTCAGTTTACCTTAGCTTTGTCTTTGTAGTTTGTGCACAAGGCCTGAGTGAGACCTAGTTTTGATCTGAAAGGCAGGCAAATCATGTATAGTAGCCAAGTTCTCTTAGTTCATTGATGTGGCCTGATTTTGCTTGGTGTAGTTAGAACACTACTCAGTGGGTTAGAGCTTTCCCCCAAGGAGTTGCTTTAAAAATAAAAAATAAAAGTGATATTGCTACTGGTTAAAGATTAAAATGTAAGGACAGTAGTAATAAAGATTTTCCTGTCCCCTGCAGAGGCATTGGCAAATCAGACATTCAGTGGTTGGAAGTGATAAACCTTTACTACATACAGAACTGCAGAGTTGTTAGAACAAATCACAATTTTTTAAAATGTGTATTTTAAAGGTTCTCTTCACAAATCAACTGAATAACATCGTGTGAGGAATTACTTGAAGAGTGCACTTATATTGGTAGTTTGTCAACTTTTTTACTGCACACTATGTTGGATGAAATTACTTAATAAAGATGGTTGTATGATTTCAGTTGTTTTGTTTCCTTCTTTCACTGTTTTTCATTCACTCCCAGGAATGGTGTTGGTTGTTGAATGCTGATACACATTTGCTAACTGCAAAGGATGTTTGCTGAAAATAGAAACTTGTGGGGTTCAGCATCCAGAATTTAGAACATGAAGTTTGTTGGATCAGAGAGGCTGGTAAATAGTGAAAGCATCTTTTAATTATTTAATTTCATTTGCAAGGTTTAACTCCTTTGACTTATGATAATTTTCACTCTATTCCTGTGCTTTCTGATGCCCATGGCTTTCTTTGCACATCAGCCTCTTCTTACCATTCTTTATCAGTTCCTTACTGACTCCTAAAATCTTTGAGGTCCATCTTTCTCCCATGTGGATTTTTGAGTCATTTCCTAGAAGTTCTTGTTCATTGCTGAAGCAGCAGGAAATGAGAGGCTTTGTGGCTGGTGCTGACCTGGTGACCTGTGCAAGAGAAAGATGCCTGTTGACACCCAGAGATTTCTGATAGATACTGTGTGCATTCACCCACTCCATGCTTTCAGGGACGTTTTTCTGTGTCATGGCTAATTCCATCTGTCTTAAGATTCATGAAAAGTGAACAAGATTTATTAGAGCTGTTGGCTTTGTTTAAGGAGCTGGGTCACAAATTGATGTTGTATGCCAGAGAGATTGATGTGACCTACTTCGCTGGTAGTTGCAGCTTTAACCCCAGATGTACAGTACAGAAGCCCTTGCTAGCAGGCCTCTTACACAAGGTGCATGCTGCAGAAGGTAGGATTCCCTTATACCTTTCTGCAGGCCTCTTGGAATTCTGCCAGCCTAAAAAGGGAAACCTGTGGTTTGTCATCTTTTTTCTTCTTTAAAAGATAAAATCTGTGTTTTTCCATAGCAAACAGAAAACTGGATCCCTGCTGATAATAAAGATGGTTCCCCTGTTCTTTGCTGTGTGATCTCTCTAAGACAAGCACCCACAGATGCATAAAATTTCTGTTGTGTTTTTCTCTAGTGATTAAAATTGGTTTCTTTTTTCCTAAATTTGGCTGTCCTTTTGAGTACCTCACCTCAAGAGGAGTTTGCAACCTCACTGCTTTGACTGACTTAGGGTACCATCACACTATGACAAGATCATCCCTGGACAATGCTTGTCCAACCTCCTCTTGAAAACCTCCAGTAATGGAGAGTCCACAGCTTCCCTAGGGCATTCTAGTCTACTGCCCTACCATTTTATCAGTGAAGAAGTTTTTCCTGATATCCACTCTAAACCTACTTTGCTGCAGCTTCAAGCCATAGATCTGTGTCCTGCTTTCTGCAGCAACGTGCTCTCTGTGTCCTGCTCTCTCTTTGTTGTGACAGCCCTTCAAGTATTAGAACACTGCTACTGTGTCCCCCCTTAAGTGCCTTTTCTGCAAGCTGAACATTCCTAGCTCCTTCAACCTCTCCTTGTATGATTTCTTTTCAAGCCCTTTATAATTTTTGTTACCTCCCTTTGGACCCTCTATGACTTCTCCATGTCTTCTTTAAAATGTGAAGGCCAAAACTGCACACAATATTGTAGATGAGGCCTAACCAGCGACTAACGCTTTCCCTGTCTTGCACCTAATGTTTCTATTGATGCATCCAAAAACTGTGTTTGCCTTTTGTGTGGCTGCATCACGCTGCAGACTCACATTGAGTCTGTGATCCTTCTCAATAGTGCTGCTAGCTAGTCAAGTGTCACCCATTCTATATTTGCACTTCTGATTTATTCTTCTCAAGGTGGAGCACCTTGCATTGATCAAAACTGAAATTCATCCTGTTACATTTCAGTCCAGCTTTCCATTCTGTCAAGATACTTCTGAATTTCTGTCCCATCTTACATGTTTTCAATCCTTTCTATGATCATACCATCTGCAACCTTGCTCAATAAGCTGTTATGCCAGCATCTGAATAATTAAAAAACATGTTGAACAGCATTAGTCCCAGGACAGACCCCCTGTGGGACTCCACTCCAGACTTCCTGCCATTCTGATAGTAATTACCCTTTGCTCGCAGCTATTGAGCCAGTTGCTTATCCACCTAATAGTAGTTTTGTCTAGCCCACATTTCTCCAGCTTCTTTATAAAAAGGTCAATGAAACTTCTCACAAGGCTTGCTGAAGTCCAGATATATTATATCCACAGAATTCCCTTCATCCAACCAAGTTGTTAACTTTGTCAAAGAAGGAGATCAGATTTATCTGCAACAATCTGTTCTTAGTAAATCTGTGCTGGGTGCTTGTGGTCAGCCTTTCCTCCTCCAGATGCTTGCAAATGGACTTCCTTAGGATATGCTCCAGTAAATTCCTGGGTATTGGGTTGATGCTAATTGGTCAATAGTTCTTCAGGTCGTCCTTTTTGACTTTTTTAAAGAGAAGCACTACATTGGCCCCTTTCCAGTCTTCTGGTACCTTACCTGTCTCCCATGACTTCACAATTATTATTGCCAACAGCTCCAAGATCTCTTCTGTCAGTTCCTTTAGTACCCTGGGATGTCTTGAATTCATTCAGACCCTTCAACAGCTCTCTAATTGTCTCTCTTGTTATCTCATCCTTCAGCTTGTCCCTGTCCTTTATTAGGTGTCTGACTGCAGCCTAAATTTTTTTGTGAAGACTGAGGCAAAATAGCTGTTCAGTAGTTCCAGTTTCTTTGCATCTTCTGTAAAGTGTTCCCCCAAGCTGTTATAACAGTGGGCCCACATCTTCCTTGGTAGCTGGATTGTGACTCCAGCCAGTCAGGCTCCGGTTTTGGGCAGTATGCACTGCCACCATGTGCACCATCCTGCTTTTTTTGGCATGGGTTTTTTTGACCCTGGGATCTCCCAGGGTGAAACCCTCCTATCTCCCTACCCCCAGTGCTGCAAAGTAGCAGCATGGAGAAGGCCTGCATATGCAGTGTGTGGTGACGCAGATGAGTCTGCAGAGTCACATACTGCACATTTGTGCTCATCTGGATGCAGCCAAGGGACGAGTGAATCCTCTTCCCTTGAACTTGAACATCTACCCATCGTTGAATAATCCAAAGCCTTCATGCTGACACCACCATCTCAGACATACGTACGATGGTTCCGGCCTAGGCCCTTGCCTTCCGTGGGGAGGATCGATGAGAACACAGCTTGCGCTCCGCAGCTCTAATCTGCTCAGTGACATTCCTGGTGGTATTGTTGGTGCCTACATGGATAATCAGGAAAGGGTAGTGGTCTGAGGGATGGATGTTTGGTAGTCTTCCTCTGCAGATATAAGCACCACACTCATGTTTACCTAGAAACGGCCCAGGGAGCCCAGGCCCTCTGGGCATATGCTTAGGAGAGTGAAGGCAGAAGGGTGTGGGAAGGGAAGTTGTCACCTGCTGGACATAACTCCTGTGCTTGGTAATGTGCATTACAGCAGTGTCACATGGCCCCTACCCCTTCCCTCATGATTCCTCCTGCACCCTGGCAAAATGAACAATCTCCTGTGGGTTAATTTACACCATCACCCTCTCTCTTGGCTGGCATTAGTTTGTCACAATGAACATTCATGGAAACACCTTGCACAGGGCTGTGCAGTATAGTGCTGATTCACTCATTCTGCTGCTGAGAAGGTTTAAGGGAGGCATCCTGTGGGGCTTCTGATTTCCCAGACTGAGCCCTCTGTATGTTTGTTTCTCCCCATTACCAAGTACAGGGTGAGAGGGGCAGAGCTGGAATCACCACAAGAAAGTAACTCATTGCTCGCAAAATATTTGCAAAACATAGAAGATTTATTCATTTCCAAACAGCACAGAATGTGGAGTTAAGAGTCAGCTTCATATTTTTTTTTATTGTTCTCCTTTTAAGTCAAGTAAATCTATGTACACATTTCCAGGATAGTTGTTAACATCTGTATAAATAAAGCAGCTGGGCTCAGAGAGGTTACACGCCGGTGTAGGTTACACACAGTATTTCCAGAAGCACTCAGAGAGGTTTCCACGTTTCTTGTACTGTTTTCTCTCCTTGGCCAGCAGGCGACTCAGCAGAGCAAGTCGCGGATGACTTCCATAGAGGGCCTAAATTCAAACGGCCCAAGGCAAGTTTAGTGACTGGGGAAGACTTGGCCTAAATCCTAGGAAAAATCCTTTCAGTGAAATACTTCTGCTGTCTTTTACTGGGCTGTGTAACCCTATATTGTGCTTAGCTCAGAGGGAGAGAACCATAGCTCAGCTGTGAGGATTAACTGCTCTTTCTGCATCACTCTTTTATATAGGAGCAAGGTGTGGTAATGGTTAGTGATGGTTTTTGCATTACCTGTTGTCTTGGGGTTGGGTGACTTGAACTGCAGTGGCAAAGAAGTGTCATGTGGACACACCAGGTCCTGAGTGGGCCTTCATGTCCACATGGACATGAGTTGACCAGGACTCCTAATGTCAGACCTGCTTATTTAAGAAGGTAGTTTTCCAGTGGAGGGCTGAAATGCTAAAATAATGAGGAAATGGTTTTGATTTTCCCCAATTTTGGGTTCCTTTGTTTTAAAAACTATTTTTAAATTAAGATTTTTCCTGTCAGTATCTTGCTGAATTCCTCTCTTGCTGCTGCTTGTATACAATACTTCCTACATCTGCATATGGAGTTGTCATACATGGACTAAGCCATGTTTAAGGTCAGTGGATCTTTAAAAGCTTTCTCATTATGCGCTTCCCTTTAGCTTAACCCTGGGCACCTTTCGCTGACAGTAGCTGGTCAGTTACCTCTTTCATGCTTTCCTGTGGGCTGTAGCTGTTAAAGCTGAGACCTGAAAAATAAAATGCAATGAATTTCTTCTTTGCTTTGGAAATGGAGTTTGTACCTGCCCCCCTACTCACCCTCACACACTTGCTCTTCGCTGCAACAATGTAGTTCAGCAGAGTAGTGTAATATCAAGGCTTTGAGGAGCAGCTAACAGCTGTTCCCACCAACACAAGGCAGGTCTGTGCAGTGGCATGCCATTCCAATGCATCAAATTCTGGAGCGGCAGTTTTGTACTGAGTCTGACCTCCAAGGGCACCTCATCACAGCCCTTGTACTTAGCAATATCCACAGCTGTAAATTTCTATGCCTGAAAACACTGTTGCTTTTTCAGATCATGTGAGAGCTGTCAGGTGCAGTGACCATCCCCAGGCTAAGTCCTGGCTTTACCTAGAAAAACCCCTTTCCCAGCAGAGACCGCAGCAGTTTAAGACAGGTTTTTCAGGGGCCACCAACTCAGACTTGCCCACTGAGAGAGTAGAGGGTTCCCTTGCCCCCGTTGTCTTGTTCTTGGTCAGAGGTCAGCAACCCCCAGCATGAGGGCTGAGCATGGGATGCGAGGCCATTTTCCTTGGCGCACGTGGGGGCTGGGAGGCAGCAGCTGTTTGCAGCCTCGTGGCTGCAGCCAGCACCAGCTCTAGGCAGGTGCTTCCAGCCAGGAGGCTGGGCTGCTCCCAGCTGGTGGCTGGGAGGCTGCAAGCTCTGCTGCAAGCAGCTCGGGCATCATGGCTGGCAGCAGCTACCCCAGAGCCTGAGCCGGGTGCAACCCAGAGGCTATAAACAGTAGGGCTGTGCAAAGCTTCAGATCATGATTCAGATTTGGAGATGATTCGGAGCCAAATCTATGAATCCAAATTGAATCGTGGGAAGCTTTAGGCTTTCTGAATCAATTCAGAAAAGATTCAGCGATTCGGCCATAGGGTATAATGGGGAATCAATGAAAAATCTATAACTTTATTGTCTTTTGTTTGATTTGGATGAAACATGCAGGGATGGTAGCCTCTGCTGAGGGCATGATGTATGCCAATTTTCAAGGAGATAGGAGCAGGGGCTTGGGGGAAACCACCCCAAATTCTTGAAAGCAAAACTCATGTCATGTGTATGTGTTACACCACAGGGAGGGGCAAAACTGCAGGGATGGTAGCACCTGGTGAGGCCATAAAGCCTGCCAAGTTTCAAGGAAATAGGTGGAGGGCTTTGGGGGAAAATGCACCTCAAGCTGCGGACAAGTCAAACTCATGACATGAATGATGCTGTGTGTGTTAAGGCACAGCAGGATGAAAGCTGCAGGCTTGCTAGCCCCTGCTATGGCCATGAAGCCTGCCAGCTGTCAAGGAGGTAGGTGGAGGGATTCTGGGGCCCTGCTCCTCTAGCTGCTGACAGGCAAAACTTGTGACATGGGTGCTTGTGCAACTGTGTCTGTCTTGGGGCATGGGGGTGGGGGGAAAACTACTGCAGGCCTGGCTGCTAAGCTACTGTGTTACCAATCAATCATGATTCATTCAGGGACTGGCTCAATACACAGTAGCTAGCTACTAGTAGCTACTAGATAACAAGTTAATGAGCAAGGATTAACACCTACTAAACCACACACTAAGGAGAGGAAATAATCAACCAAGACAGAGACAGTCAGTTGCACAAGCACCCATGTCACAAGTTTTGTCTGTCAGCAGCTAGGGGTGCAGGGCCCCAGAGCCCCCCTGCAATGATCTCCTTAACAGCTGGCAGGTTCTGTGGCTGCAGCAGGGGCTAGCAGGCCTGCAGCTTTCACCCTGCTGCACCTTAACACACACAGTGTCACCCATGTCATGAGTTTTGCTTGTCTGCATCTTGAGGTACAGTTTCCCTCAAACCCTTGTACTTATCTGCTTGAAACTTGGCTGGCTTTGTGGCCTCACCAGGGGCCACCACCTTTGCAGTTTTCACCCCACTGTGGCATAACGTACACATGACATGAGTTGTGCTTTCAAGAATTTGGGGTGCAGTTTCCCCCAAACCCCTGCACCTATATCCTAGGAACTCAGCAGGCTTTGTGCTCTTGGTAGAGGCTACCACCCCCGCAAGTTTCATCCATATCAGACAGAAGACAACAAAGTTATAGATATTTCATTGATTCCCCATTATACCCTATGGCCAAATCTCCAAATCAGCTCCAAAGCTTTGGCCAAATTAACCGCTCTGGAAGGTCCAGGGGAGGGCAGCAGGGCTGGCAGTACAGCATGTGCGACCCAGAGCAGCAGTGCATAGAGGGACTGCACAGGGAAGCTGCCTGCTGCTGCAAGCTCTACACTGCCGGAGTCACACTTCCCCTGTGTGCAGGGGAGCAGTGTGGGCAGCACACAGGGTTGTGCCCCTCATTGCTGCCCCTGCTTGCAGGGGAAGTGTGGCCAGGGCAGCGGGGAGCTTAGAGTGGCAGGCAGTGTTCTGCACTCCCCACTGTGCCCTGCTGTGCCCAGTTCTACATGCTGCTCTACAGAAGCAGTGGTGAGGGCAGCACAGTGGGGAGCATTGCAGGTATCTACTGCCTCCCTGGAGCCCAGGGCTGGGGCTGGGAGGCAGC